ATATTTTTACTACTTGGCTTTCGGTACCACTTTGTAATGTAGCCATTTTCTGATAGGTGAATTTGTACGTTCAAAAATGGAAGCCATTTTTCTTTCGGCTTTTCTCGGGTGAACTTGATATACTCTGACTGTGCGTTATACTCTGATATATGGACAAATGCTTCGAATTGTTAAACGCACAGTCAGAGTATATCAAGTTCACCCGAGAAAAGCCGAAAGAAAAATGGCTTCCATTTTTGAACGTACAAATTCACCTATCAGAAAATGGCTACATTACAAAGTGGTACCGAAAGCCAAGTAGTAAAAATATCTTGGTTCATTACCTCTCTTCTCACCCCTCTCGCACGAAAAGGGCGCTTATAAGAAACATGTTTCGAACAGCAACCAACGTGTGCACGGGAAGAGAGCAGAGAGAGGAGTCCCGCAGAGAGGAATAAAAAGTGACTACGTTGTGATTTATACTACAGCTTCAGCTTGACTGGGTTCAATGCCAATTTGTGTTCCACAGACCAATCTCGCTGATGGGTGATTGCTGACGTGACCGGGAGATGGGAAACTAGCCGAGATAAAGACGAAACGAAGGACTCGCATGGTGTGGTGGTCAACGCGTTAACCACTGAAAGGGGTAATATCGCCTACGTTCCCACCGCAGGTACCATAGGTCCGGAGTTTTGCAACTATTTCAGCGTCACTGCGATTTTTAGAAGGTTTATAAAGCAGCTTTCTAATACTTAAGCTGTCTCAGAAATTTTCACTTTTTCGACGATGCATTTACAAGTGCAAATGGTGCATTTTTCACTCCAGTGACGCACGTGCGACCACTAGACAAGTAGATGAATTCGGCTAAATATATAATTGCTGTCTTCTGATTGGGTTAGGTTACACATCGATAGAAAAGCTGAAGCTCTCAGCGTTGATCAATCCCTGGAGGATGCGCCATGCATTCGACTTCATTAAGCATCGTTGGAGGTGATTGAATGCATATCTGGTCTTTACAATGATGCGGTGGGATACGATGTATCGAGATAGTGCTGCCGTCCGCCCAGACAAGTTTGGTAACAATTTAACAAGCCAGGAGTAGTGAAAGGCTTGATGAGCCTGAGGCGCGCGATCGATCCCATGTGTATTGCAGGGTGCCCCTAACCTGTGTGCCAAACGCGTCCTTTTGTACAGTATTTGTCATTTACAGATTGTATTAGGGATTGGTGCATTAATGCCATACTGGGATTCCTCTTTGGAAAGAAATCCCATGAACCGGACCGCACGTGCTTGCGCTGTGAAACGAACGCGCTATTGTCCTTTCCGGGGAGTAACGTGTTCAACACCACACGATGCAAGTCCTTCGTTTCGCCTGTCTCTCAGCTAGTTCTATCGATCACTTGCCATCAGCAATCACCCGTCAACGGGATTGATCCAGAGAGCCTAAATTGGCATTGAACCCAGTTAAGCTGAGGAAAGTCGAAAGAGTTTCGCTGCCGAAGTTTTGCAAGTTGAGAAATATGTGAAGCGAGAACTTAGAGAAGTTAAACTGGATGAGGTAAGTATTCATACCCTACCCCATAACCTTTTTTGAAAGGGTCATTTAGAAAACGCAAATCGATTTGTTTGGATTGCTTTTGCTTCTATGTTGTCGTATGGGTAGATCCGTTGGATGGGACGTCAGAAGTAGCACTCGCTGTTAAAAAGAAAGAATTGGTTCATTCTATTTCTTCATATTGCTATTTGTACTAGTATACGCATCATAAAGAGGCACATGTGGCGCAGTGGTTAGAAGCGCCATCCAATTAACATGTGATGGATCCCGGCGCCCCAGAATGACCAAGCCCTCCATTCCTCCGGGTCGGAAAATTGGTACCACACTTGTCTAGGAGGGTAGTATCACTGGCTCGATGCATCAGTAGGCCACCGCGAGTCGTTGTAAAGGCGAGATATGCATTCAATCACCCCTGGCGATGCTTAATGAAGTCGAATGCATGTCGCATTCCCCAGGGATTGATTAAGGCCGACCGCTTGATCCACTTTTTTTTGTAGCAATAGAGCAACTGAATTCGATCATGAGCTGTTCGTTAACGCAAGCGAAATGTTGTTTAGCTAACTTCTTAAAGCTACACCTGTTAGAATAGTCATCCGATCAAGTTAACACATTTATCCGAGCAACAAGCGAAGTTTGCGGTTGCTGCTATTCAAAATACGACAATCCACACATAATACGCCGATCGTAGATTTTCTACTGTTAGTTATTTTTTGCATGTTTTCTATAACTAGCCTTTTCTGGAGGTGGTGGTTATTTTCTGCCCAAACGATTATACTTTAGAGATCCTTCGGAAAGCGTTGGACTTTCTTCTTTCCTCTCATCATGAAGGTTAAAATGATATCTCGTAATCCAGATGATTATCAAAGAGAGACCAACAAGGATATTTATAAAGGTAATCTTAGTCGTTTGACTCGTTTATTGGCGGTATTTCCTTATTATTTGAAAACTTTTACTCTGTGATGGGCCTTGACCCGAACATTTGGAGTTGTCGTAGTCTATGGATGTTCTCTAGGCGAAGGTTGTTTATTTAGGAACCAAAACTCTTGCTTCAGTGCTGTAGTGATGCTACGGCAGTTGTCGAAAAGTTTGATCGGCAGTTGCCGTTCCTTATTGATCGGATACAGATTTGCTAACTTATGGCCAGATTAGTCCCACGACATCGGAAGTTCCAAGAATCGATATACTCTGTAGTATTGTAGGATAGAAACGTTGTGCATTTAGGCTTGAGTAAGTTTCCAGGAAGAAACTTCCTGTGGATTAGGATCTGACGTTGGAAGAAAATCCTTAGAAGTGGTAAGGCGGTAAACCACGAAGTAGCAAGGTGAGATCTCTATTTCAAGACTGAACGTAGACTGGTTGATCTTTTAGTCTTGGAATGTTCTTTTCCTGTTTTTCCTGCTTCTGTTTTTCTACCAGTACTCTGGGACGCGAAGGCGAGCAGCACAGTGGTATTGACACCGTTTATTACGAGAAAGACCGGTTCAACTCTGCTTCGTGTTGCAGAAGTCTTCCATTTATTCGAGGTCGGGAAGTTAATAACAGACTTTTCTGGGATTATCTCAGTTCCTCCAGTCATCACAAGAACGCTCTAGCGGGGCTATCTCACCACTACGAGAAGGAGCGACTCGACCAACACCTAAGGAAATTCGTAACGAAGATGGGTATTTCCGAGCAGTAATGGATTCAGCATACAAATAGTTCGAAATTCTTCGTGAATGATAGATGCAATGGGAACTTTCGAGTGCAAGAAGGGCTGGGATCCACGTTGAAGATCTGAAGAAGGACCATGTAGGGAAATGTATTCTGATGACACGTTCATTTGTTTCAATGTATAATCGACGTTAAATGTCTTTGTTTGTAAAACCTCTAAGCACTTTGCAACTAGGTTCTTATCTGTTAAGGGTGTTGAAGAAAGAGGTGAGACTGCATTAGCCATAGCTATTTTTATCATCATAGTTTCCTAACCTGTGTTTAACAAAAGTCTAGGATCGAATATATTCCATTTTTTGAGTCACGTATATTTCTAGAGTCTTGGAATTTGACTAGAGCGTCGTGATAGTTATTTGATGGGATGTGGCTTGATGCAGAAAGAAACTGGGGGTATTCCTGGTTACAGGCTTGTTCTTATACTTAAAAACCAAGCCTTCCATTCCTTTAAGATTGGCTAGTCGATAGCGGCACTTGCAGAACTCTTATGTTTTACTTGTTGAAAACTAGCCTTACCAGAATGTTGCACAAACCCAGTCCACATTTACTGCCGAAGTGGTTTCATTTACAGAACAAAAATGATTCTGCAGGTCGAAATGACATGCAACGCTGCGCTAGTTCACTTTAGCTGTAGTCTAACAACAGCTTTACCCAACGGTTTAGCGCTTAGTCGTGGGTGGGAGGTGTTCCTCGGTTTCGGACTGCGATGTACAGCGGAGTATTCACGGCCACGGTTCCACGGCCAGGCCTCCCGACCTGAGGAGTCCAGCGTTTCCATTAGGAAGCCTAGCTAAGAGTAAACCACTACCAGAGTCCACCACCGTCCTGGGATCAAGCTAGTCGGCAAATCTCTCGCTGATCCACAATGCCGGCGACGACTGCCTGAGGTGGTAACGGACTGGGGAAGACTTTCGCTAGGCTGACCTTGGGACCCTGGTGAAACAAAATGGCTAAACTAGCAAAACACCAAAGAAACGAAAATAATGCTAGCGCCCGCACAACCATTGAAGACGGGGCCATGCAGTTATTTAAATAAGTAAGTGACAAGAACAGGTAACCAACTCTCAGGGAGAAAAATGTTCCTACTGCTTGGATAGGGATGGATAAACTGCCGAAGGTTCCCAGGATCGACTTTCTTTTGATCTCGGCATTGGGTTGCAAATGTGTCGTTTTCTTGTTCAGCAGTCGCGAGGTTATTAACTTAACAGCATACGTTATCCTCCATACAAAAAACGCAACACAACAGTAGCTGAGAGGCAGTGTCACCTTCTTCAGAGTCGTTTTTTACGTGCCTTCGACTGAGGAAGAACGCTGACAAACTACCGATACAAACGATCCGATCAGACGAGTCAATGGATCTGCTGGTTTTTAAAATTCTTTCGAAACTAGGACATTTATTTGTTGGACTGACATGATCAATAAGTCTACGAATCTCTCTTTAAAACTCTCAACAAGTTAACGTTAGCGGAAACCGCAGATTTCGCATATTTCACTTTATATCGTGGTTTGAGATACGATTTGTCATTGTTGTAAGAAAATAAGTGAGTGGAGTAGAATTTTTAAAAAAATCCACCATTGTTTACCACGTCGCTATTTCCAGGGGTGCGTGTAGCGCAGTGGTCGGAGGCGCTCTGCATTATACATGGGATCGATGCCTGCGCCTATGGCCCACAAAGCCTTCCATCCCTCCGGGGTCGGCAGATTGCTACCAGACTTGTTTGGGAGGAAAGTAGAACTGGTTCGATGCATCGGTAGGCTACCATCAGTCATTGGAAACGGCCAGATATCCATTCAGTCACCTCCAATAATGCTTAACGAGGTCGAATGCATTGCGCTTCCTTCAGGGATTCATCAACTCCGAGAGTTTTATCCTTTTTTATTATCGCCGTTTCCAAAAACTTTTGCCAATGTGTTTTAATTCCAGTTGTACGAAATTGGAATGCGCCTGAGGATCCTTTTCGGGCTCAGACGGAATATACTCGCGCCTTGAATGCAACAAAGTTGGAACGAGTTTTCGCTAAACCTTTTGTGGCTACTCTGGATGGTCACGTGGAAGGTGTTCACATTCTTGCAAAGCATCCAAGTATGGTTTAAGTATATACATTAAGCACCTATTTAATCTGTTTGTACCTGAGTGAATTCACAATTACTGACTTCTAGGTCGACCATCTATTGTTCTATCAGGAGCTCGCGACGGTCAAGTGAAAGTATGGGCATTGGCAAGACGTCACTGTCTAGCAACATTTCAAACCCATTGTGGCCCGGTAAATGGTTAGTTTATCTGTTGTTCATAGCATCATTTTCTTTCTACGAAGTGTTAATACTTTCATAGAAAGTTGCTTTTTTGTTGTCTGAATATAGAATTCTTCCTAACGGTTTGCCACCTCTCGTAGCTAAGAGGTGTTCTTGGGTATCGGACTGCGATGTACAGCGGGAGGATTCACCCCATAGCAGGCGTTTCCATCAGGAAGCCCAGCTAAGAGTAAACCATTCCCAGGTCCACCATCGTCCTGGTATCAAGCTAGTCCCTTAGTGGAAAATTTTCCTCTGATCTACAAGGGATTCTGTGGTGACGACAGCCTGGCGCAGACATTGGCTCTGCTAACCTCAGGACTCCATGGAACCACAATAGCTAAACTAGCAAAACTCCGAAGAAACGGAAATTATGCTGGAGCCTTCACATTCACTGAAGATGTCCAAGTATTCAAATAGCAATATAGATTTTCGACATGGTTTTTCACTGTTATTTTCTTCCAGGTATTTCTGTTGATACAGCGACTGGTGATAGCTTTGTTACTGTTGGGCAAGATTGTGCCATTAATCGCTGGAGGTTGCCACAAACTTCCAAGGATGTCGGTGGCATATTGTGTGACCATACCGATTCTGTTCTCCTTGATGGTTTGTTCACAATCTTGTTTTCGTCTTAGGCAACCGTTTTTCATATTCTGCTGCGGGTCTGTAGATGTTATGATTTAGGATAAAATCAGTGTTTTTTTTTTGGTTGAAGCAGATGTTTCAGACTTTGAGCGAGTTTCCTTTTCTAATTTTACTTAACACAGCTTTAGTCACTAACAGATTTTTCATCCTTTCCAACCACAGTGGTTAATTTCTACTGGGTTGTGGATCATTCCTTGAAACACGGGAGTCGCCCTTCTAAGTAAGTTAGGGTAATGGGTGAAGACCACGCCTAATATACGCGAAATTAAGCGCATTCCGCAACTCGAGGTGTAGCTCGGTCTGTCCACGTAATGTTTACGTCGAGCGTCACCGTCTACATTGTGGCAAATTTTCATTGCTAGTTTCGCCTTCATTGAAGCGATGCAATCAAAACTGGATGCTTCCGTTGGCTTAGGCTGCCTAACACACTGCCTTTGTACTCCTTGTACTCGTAGAGAACTTGAATCTTTCTATCACTTATTTTGGTTCAATTTTGCACTTCTGCTGTTTTCGTACCCTTCGTACTTTTGTCATAGAATTTTGTTGGACAATATAGACCAATTGATCAGTGGACCTCAATTATTCTGCATGTGAACCAGAATTGGTTCAGCACTTTTCCTTAGTGAAATAATCTATTCTAATTGAATTATCCATAGTTCGCTTTCTCGTTAAACTCTCTCTCAGGTGTTGCACATGCAGTGTCGCATCTTGCAAATTCTTCCCATTTCGTCACATGTGGTGATGGAGTTACTGTTTGGAGTTCTCAAGGGTGAGTTTAGCAATTTCCCACATGTTTCTCTTTTCCGAGATTCCGGTCTTGTATTTGGACCATGCTTGATAGTATCTATTTGGTAAATTAGACATACTACTAAACTCATTCAGTACCACAAGGATCCGTGAGTATGACGTAGGTCATGACACCGCTCATGTAGTACGTGCAAATCCAATAGAAGAGGCAGTTCTCGTGGGTGCTATGAGTGATCGTTCCATATTCGTCATTGATACGCGCCAAGCTGTTGCGTTAAAAAAGGCCTGTTTCTTGTTCACGTTTTGTGTTTTTTTTTTCACTCGAAAGTTCAACTTTTATAGGTGACAATGAAGTTACGGCCAAATAGGATTTCGTGGAATCCTTTAGAAGCGTACACATTCTCGGTAGCAAGTGATGACTATAAGTGGGCCTTTTTTAAAATGTTTTGCTGCTTTTCGTGCTTACTAACTCAATGACACTGATTGGAAAACGAACGTAGCACTTGTATCTGGAGTGCATTCATTATCTTTAGACATTGTTACAATTGAACACAACGTTTTGGATGATATTCCGGTTTTTACATTAGAAAAGCTTTCTAAGACTCTCGGCGTTGATCATTCCCTGAGGGATAGCCCGTGCATTCCACTTTATTTGGCACCGTTGGATATGATTGAATGCATATCTGGCCTTTATAATGATTCGCGATGGCCTATCGATGTATCGCTTCGGCGCTGCTATCCTCCCAGACAAGTCTGGTACCAATTTGCCGACCTCGGAGAAATGGAAGGCTTGGTGAGCCTTGGGCGCAGGGATCGATCCTTTGTGTATTGCAGGGCGCCTACGACCACTCCACCATACGTGCTCTTCGATTTTTCCATTGATGTTAGAAAATGAAAGCTATAAAATGATGTTTTGCACCGGACCACAAATGGGTGAATGCAAAATTGATACACAAAGAAGTGATAGTATCAGTTGTAGATTTCTGTACGTTTTCAGTTTGTATACGTTTGACATGCGCTATTTGGATAGTCCTAAATTTGTTCATTCTGGACATACGGCTGCCGTCATTGACTTAGATTACTCACCAACTGGTCAAGAAATCGTGTCCGGATCATTTGATCGATCAGTGAGAATATTTCGTGCCAACGAAACAAGAAGCAGGTATGACCACAACATATGCAAAGAATTCCATATTTCTTTTTTACTTGAACTTCCTTTTTTTTTTACAGTAGGGAGACTGCATTAGCCTATTGTTGTGGTTTGCCACAGACTTTTAACACAACACGTGGTATTGACATAACATAACATAACATAACATAACACGTGCTTCCCAACGATTTACCGCCTCATCGTGGCTGGGAGGTGTTCCTGAGTCGGGCTGCGATGTACAGCGGAAAGATTCATCCTCACAGCAGGGTCTCCCAAGCTGAGAAGGAGTACGACGTTTCCATGAGGAAGTCCAGCTAAGAGTAAACCAATACCAGAATCCACCATTATCCTGGTATCAAACTAGTCGCATGGTGGAAAATCTCCCTCTTATCCACAAGGGTAGCGACTGCCGGTGGTGGTGACGAACTGGAGCAGGCTTTGGTCTGGTTGACCCCAGGAATCCAGGCAACCACAATAGCTAAACCAGTAAAACTCCGAAAAAATATAAATTATGCTGCCCACTTACAACCAGTGAAGATGGGCCATCCAAGTATCCAAGTAAGTAACACGTGATATTTTTGGACAGCTGACGATAGTCTTCCAAACACTAGAGTATTTGAGGAGTTGAGAATTCCATACGTTTTTAGAAGGGAGTTTGCTGTTTCGCCTTTAGGGTATACTAATCTGTAAATCTGTATATCAGTTCGGTACTTTCAAAGCCGACCACTATTTAACAGTCGTGTAAGTGATCAATATCTTTTAAAACTCTTCATCCTACATAAATTTCTTATCAAATTTTTATTCGGCTAACGTTTTGACGTCTTTGTCTTTTTTACAGACGTTTGATTCAAGTTGATTGTCCACATGGCGAGGACGAACGGCGTGAAGTGGGCATTCGACTCGGATCATTCGGCTCTTATCCAGACAAATATGTTATGAAAATTCATAACCACGTCATATAAGCTGAACATTTTTGAAAGACTTGGACTATAAATTCTGCTCTAAATCCGTTTAGTGCTAAAGTTCCAAAAAAATTGAGAGTGGAGTTTAAAGTTTCAAAAGTTCTGAAGAAAGTGTGGAAGCGCCACACACAAATACTGTCTAACATGTGTAGATTCAAAAATCTTTATAATACTATTCATGTATGCTAACTTTTTATTTGCTGCCCACCATTATTTCTAACGGCAGTGTACGATGCGAAATACAATCGCAACGATGTTGAGATGTTTACAAAACTCCGGACTGGCAGGTGTCTCCGGTGGGGAACAAATGCGCTATTACCCTTTCCGGGGGCTAACGCGTTCACCACCACACCACGCAGGACCTTCGTTTCGCCTGTCTCTCAGCTAGTTCTTTCGATTACTGCCATCAGAAATCACCCGTCAACGGGTTTGATCTGGGGAGCAGAAAGCGGAACTGAACCTAATTAGGCTAAGGCTGAAGTTGAAATCACAGTGCTAACTTTTTATTTGCTGCCTACCATTATTTCTATTCTCTCATCATGTGGTTGTATTTCGTATCATACCCTGCCGTTAAAAATAATAGTAGGCCGCAAATGAAAAGTTAGCATTTTGATTTGAACTTCAGCCTCAGCTTAACTAGGTTCACTGCCGATTTAAGTTCACCAGATCAATCTCGTTGACGGGTGATTGATGATAGCACTGATCGATAGAACTATCTGAGAAACAGGCGAAACTAAGGACCCGCATGGTGTGGTGGTGCGTTACTCACCGTAAAGGACAATAGAGCATTCCTTCCCCACCGCAGACACCTGCGGTCCGGAGTTTTACTATTTCGTATATTGAAATATTTAGTACGAGTCAAGCTTTGCCCTACAAAATTTCTACGTTCAGAGATGTGTATCACACAAAACGGATGTCAAACGTATTGTCTGTGTTGTGGTCTATGGATAACAAATTTGTTCTTTCTGGTAGTAATGAGATGAACGTGCGTGTATGGAAAGCCAAAGCAGCAGAAAAAATTGGTCCGGTGCGTTCGTTGCATTCTGAGAAAACTGAAAACTATTTGACTTCCCGTTTCTTTCTATCAGAGTCTATTTACTACAGAAGTTGCTCACAGCTGATATCAAATAGCATCTAGTTATAGCTGGCTCCACGAGAGAAGGCAGCATTTATGTACAATGAGAAGCTTCGCGAACAGTTCAAAGAACATCCGGAAATTCGAAGAATAGCACGACATAGGAATGTACCGAGGAGTATCTACCAGTAAGTACATTTTATGTCACCATCACTTCTTATCACCTCTGGAAACGTTTAAGATGGGAAGATTTAAGATTTAACGATTTAGCCGTTTAAGCTTTCCCAAGTAAAACAGAGTGGTTTGCACTCGTGTTCGTATTCTTTGTGCTTTATCCTTGACATGCTAACTGCAGTGCCACTCGTGAGCATGCGGCTATTCGAGCCTCACAATCTCGTAAGGAATTCAACCGTCGTCGTGCAGAGGGTGTTAAGGACGAAGATGTGGAGTTTGTCCCGTTGGTCCGAAAGGCGATGGTTAAAAGTAGTGCCGAGATCTTATAGAAGTAGTTCTGCTTCAGTGGTAATTGCCATCCACTGCACTGACGTTTTCGAATAGTGGAAAATTAAAAGTGTTATTTTTACTGAAGGATGAACAGGTGAATGTGCTGTTACAATTATAAATAAGGATAAATATTTTATTTCCGATATCTCTTGTTTGATTAATTTTTACCGAGTTAGTAGTAGGAAAATATTGATTTCTGCTACAATGGATTGACTATCCCATCTAATTCGATGTGATGATAAACTAACAAGATGACAAGTACAGAACTAATACCGTATTGCGAGGTGGTTAAGTCTTTGCCGCGATTTCTGGCAGTTGGTCTTTCAGACTTTTCGGTATAGAGAGTATGTAATCCTGAAATAATACAAACGAATTTACTGATGGTGAAATTCCTTGAGCGCGACAAAACATAGGATAGAAATCTAGATCAGCAATGGAGCACTCTTCAAGTCTTGGTCCTGAACCCAACCATATAAGAAAAACAAGCAACATGCCTGGTGATTAACCCATGATGCAGATGCGAGGACACCGCCTGTATTATTCCGCTGAACTGTTGGTTCATAGCAAAGATGTCTCCCCGATATATCAGTTAGCTGACCTCCTCAAACAATACAGAGTCACTGTTAAAATAAGCTGGAAATACAATCTGCTTGGAAATTAAGCGCTTTAGACCTTCAAAGCTCCAGAAATAAAAACCTTTGGAACATTAAAAGATTTTAAGCGACTAACATGGTACCGTTCCAATGGTTTACTGCCTCATTGTCACTGCCAGGTGTTCCTGGCTGCCTGGCCGTGACGTACAGCAGCGGAATTCATCCCCCAGCAGGGTCTTCCGAGCTAAGAAGTGCCATGTTTCCATCAGAAAACCCAGCTAAAAGTAAACCAGTACCAGAATCCACTACCGCCCTGGTATCAAACTAGTCGCATGGTGACGACCTGGCGGAATCTGGCCAAACTGACCTAGGGACTCCAGGGAGCCACACAATGGCTAAACTAGCAAAACTCCGAAAAGTAGAAATTATGCTGGGCCCGAACAACCAGTGTTACCGGCCCATTCAAGTATCCAAGGAAGTAAATATGGTATATATGAGAAACATACCAGCCGCGGTTAGCACGGCTTCAACAGCACAAGTATCCCACTTCTTGCAACCGGCACTAGCAAACACATAAGCAGCACTTCCTTCGAGCACCTTTATCACCTGGAATAGAAGAAAGTCGTCTCATAACTAGATGAAACATTTATTAATCATCTGAAAAGAGAAATACTTAATGCCTTTAGAGTACTCCAATTTCACCAGAGTATGATGACAATATTGTATACGTTCATAAGTCCTACCTTATAGCCTGCACCTCCGAACTTTTCAACAACATCAACGAGTCCTTTCTCTTTCAGTGCATTAAGGGCGTCAAGCACAGACTGATTCAAATGGCTCCTTGTTGTCACAACGACACGTTGTGGTTGCACTACAACCAACATTAGTACTACATAATTTCTCCCTCCCATAAAAGCTTAGTACATGTACCTCCAGCAGGTATTATACCATGCACTCCACATCCCTCTATAGCCCATATAGTTCTGCCAGCATTTCTGTGAAATGGCTGATGAATAACCCCAGCTATAGGCCGACCACGATGAGCGATACCAATCAGTACTGTGATCTGCTCGAGTAGCGCTGAAATGATAGTGGTCTTGACGACGAACCTCCAAATATGCACAGGGATGATATAGTCTACTCTAGGGCAGATACACAACGCATATAATACAATTTTTGTACAGAAAAGCACGATGTGTATAAAAGATAGAAAAGGATGAAGCTTCGGGCGTTGATCAATCCCTGAGGGATGCGCCATGCATTCGACTTCATTAAGCATCGCTAGGGGTGATTGAACGCATATCTGGCTTTTACAACGACTCCCGGTGGCCTACTGATGCATCGAGCCAGTGATACTACCCTCCTAGACAAGTGTGGTACCAATTTTCCGACCCGGAGGAATGGAGGGCTTGGTCATTCTGGGGCGCCGGGATCCATCACATGTTAATTGGATGGCGCTTCCAACCACTGCGCCACATGCGCCTGTTCATGATGCATATACTAGTACAAATATGAAGAAATAGAACGAACCAAAGTCTTTCTTTTTAACAGCGAGTGCTACTTCTGACGTCCCATCCAACGGATCTACCCATACGACAACATGGAAGCAAAAGCAATCCAAACAAATCGATTTGCGTTTTCTAAATGACCCTTTCAAAAAAGGTGATGAGGTATGAATACTTACCTCATCCGGTTTAACTTCTCTAAGTTCTGGTTTCACATCTTTCTCAACTTGCAAAACTTCGGCAGCGAAACTCTTTTCGACTGTGCTGCACTCGGATGTTACGTCCTTAAATACAACAACACGCCAATAGTTCTAAAAACCATCCTTCATTATTATCTGTATAAATACTCAAAAATTCCTTGGATTACATAGATAAATCTTAAATCTTAGCTCAATGAATCAAGAGCACTACATCGTCATTTTTCGCATGATACTCCGTAAGAGTTGCAACGTTGCTTTACATACAAAATGATACTGAGATATTTGCAAAACTGCGGACCGCATGTGTACAGTGGGGATCGAACCAGTTATTACTCTTTCTGGTGGCTTACGTGTTCACCACCACACCATGCGGGTCCTCCGTTTCGCCCTTCTCTCAGCTTGCTTTCTATCTAATTATATAGTTGTTTCGTATAGGCAAGAAATACTTGTGCAGTGTAAAGACGACAAACAATGAACAGAGCAGAGTCCCTCTTGCATGGTCATGCTAAAGTATGACTTTGGAGAAGAAAAAGTCTCCTTATTACGAAAGATAGATTTAGACCAACCTCCTCACCAATGATGTTGATATTTCCGAACCGTTCCGTAAGAGATTTAACTATGAGAAACTGTGCACGCCGATCGGCTTCAGTCTGAAGATCTTCTGGCTCGCCTTGTACACTCTTGTCAACTATTTTTAGATCTCCATCCGCCATTACGTTCTAGAATCGTTCAAGTTGCAGCTTTTCATAGTTTATATAGTAGAGGAAATAACAATGCCCGTGTTTATTTTCCAGTTCGATATATGAGAAAGACGGAAAAAGAGTGTAATGTTCCCTGAAAATTTTTGAAAACATTAGGCTATCTTGCGCTTCAGTGCATAATTCTCCGTGAGTTTTATAACAACCTAGTACTACCACTCTTACTTGGATGCCCCTCTTCACTGGTTGTGCTGGCTCCACCATAATTTCCATTTTTCCGGAGCTTTTTATGTTTAGCCAATGTGGTTCCACGAAGTCCCGAGGTCATCGTAGCCAAAGTCTGCTCCAGATCATCACCACCACAGACAGTCGCCGCTCTTGTGGATCAGAGGTAGATTTGCCACCAAGCAACTGGCTTGATTCCAGGACGATGGTGGATCTTGGTATTGGTTTACTCTTACATGGGCTTCCTGATTGAAACGCCGGATCCTTTCCAGCTTGGGAGGAGCCTGCCATGGGGGACGAATCTCGCCGATGTACACTGCAGCTCCACACCCAGAACACCTCTCAGCTACGATAAGGCAGCAAACCGTTAGGAAGCTGCCTAGTACTACTCCTCTAAAGAGAATTACGAATAGAAGGAAATAATAAGGAAATAAGATACAAAACCTTAATAATGCTACCAGCCGCCTCAGAAATCCGTACAGACGACGCTACAAGCCGAGTTAGAAATGATGCCCTATGCCACATATCCGTATCGCACATTCCTAAGCTTCAAGGTAACCTGAAAATCCAAAAGGGAAACCAGGTAACACCACTTTGAAGGAGAACTAAATTAAGAGATAGAACGATAGAAAAGTTAGTAAAAACCCAATATACAGGGCTTAAAAGATAATATTGTATGAAGAGGAATGAGGACCTGGGAGATTTGTTTCCTTGTGCCCGACATTTGAGTTTGAGCTCCCCAAGTACATTCTTAGTACACTTACATGTGTAAGAAGGAGCACAAACCGATAATATTTGTATCACTGATAATTCGAAGCGAAACTGATGAGACATCACATAATAAGTTTCGGTTATTAAAAACAATAAGAACATCTATGCCGATCTCACTTCCGCTAAAAAAAAGGCAGTTCGTAAAAGCACTGATGAGACAATGTTTGCCATACTATAGCTGACATGCTGATACTCTGATACACTCTGCGTGGTTGTGCTTGGTCTTTGTCTCTGCACTTCGGAAGATATACTTACCTACTTACTTGGATAGCCTGTTTTCACTATTGTGTTGATCCAAGAACAATTCCCATTTTTTCGGAGTTTTGCTGGTTTAGCCAGTGTGGCTCCCCGGAGTCCAGAGGTTAGGCGAGCCAATGTCTGTCCCAGGTCGTCACCATCGCAGGCAGTCGCTGCTCTTGTAGATCATAGGGAAATTTCCCACCATGCAATTAGTTTGATACCAGGATGGTGGTAGATCTTGGTAGTCGTTTACTCTTAGCTGGGCTGCCTGATGGAAACGCCGGACTCCTTTTCAGCATGGGAGCCCCTGCCGGAGAGATGAATCCACCCGATGGTTATTGTAGCCCGACACCCAGGAGCTCCTCCCAGCCACGATGAAGCGTTGGAAAGCCAAAGAAGATTAATAGAGCAATATTTACTATACGATAGTTTACACTTGAAGTTTTGTTTTTCTCAGCGTTTCTAAAGGTCCTACTAACATAGAAATTACCTGATCAACTACTTCTACGTAAAGCCATCGTAATTTCCTAATTTCTATGATTGACTTCATACCTGAGCCAAGCACTAACCGACCAACCAATGTGAACACTATGCGGTCGGTCCACTGAACCTACGATGTAGAAACTTAGGATCTCTCACATCGCAGATTCAAAAAGAAGAATAAATGATAAAGCTATTAGCGTTGAACAGTCCCTGAGGGATCCACCATACATTCAACTTCACTAAGCATCGTTGGAAGTGATTGAATGCATACCTGGCCTTCACACTGACTCGCAGTGGCCTACCGATGTGTCCAGCCAGTGCTGCTATCCTCCTAGATAGGTCAGATACCAGTTTGCCGACCCCGGAGAGATGGAAGGCCTGGTGAGCTTGGGCGCAGGATCGATTCCACGTGTAGTGCAGGAAGCCTCCCAGATTGCGCTACACGCGCCCCTCTACTGCTAAAACTTATGTTCGACAATTCACTGACGTTATGAAGTGGATGACCCAACGATCTGCTTTCTAGATACAAGAACACTATCGTTGGATGGACACGAATCCAGAGATATAACAAACAGTGAAGAAGTTACTAGGGAGATAATGCTGTCAAAGAAGAAAGAAGTACATGGAGACAATTACTGCCTAAAAAAAATCGTACACTGAACTTAAATCAAGAGATTTCCTATTAAGAAACAGATGAAGCAAAAGAAATAACGTCATTTAATTGAAATAAGCACTTCGTTCACCTCTAAGAGAGGTTGGCTGTGCGGAACACCAAATAATACTAGCATGTGAAGTAAAACATAAACACTAGAGAAGTACTGTTAAACACCAATTTACTGTGGAACTACGAACTATCGCCAATACATAGGGACGACATAAAGATATGTCGACCGTAATTGCGGCATCGAGGCTGGGAGATTGGTGTATTCCATGTGGAATTATTCGCATTTCATTGACATTCTGGTGTCCGGATCCTATGTGAAACCAGAGACGAAGGATATGTCGTCCCACCGGTTCTCGCTTCCGAAGTCCGACATGTCAATTCGTCGGTGAAGAGTTCAAAAGCACCTGGTCCGGACAGGATAAGGCCTCATCAACTGAAGAACCTGACCTCACCAGTTCACTGGCTCGGCTGTTCACACGTTGCCAGTTTGTATGCAGAGTTCATACTCATTGGAAGACCAGCAAGACTGTATTATCGTTCAAAAAGGGTGACCTCCACGATATCGGCATCTACCGTCCAATCTGTTTGGTGACTGTCGTCTATCAACTTTTCATTCGAGTCATCCCAATCAAGATTGACAGAACACTGAACGAAGGACAGCCATGTGAACAAGCAGAGTTTCGAAAAGAATTTGGTACGATGGGCCACATCCATACGATAACAAGACTCAGTGAAGTATTGCGTGAGTACAAAAGACCGCTCTGTCTCTCTTTCGTCGATTTGAAGAAGGCTTTTGACCCAGAGATGGAAGGATTCATGGAAGCACTGAACAATCAATGATTCCATGCTCAGTATATATTCTTCCCAAAAGGATATCACCATTCTACAACGATCTTAACATCGACGTCCAAAGAGCATCGAGAACACCGTGAGAATAGTGGAAAGGGAAAACACGGGAGTGAAAATCGATGGCTGGCAATTGGTATTTCATCTCATTTTCTCTCACTTCTACTCATAGTGAAGCAACTGCAAGGGAAAATTTGTGCATCGAGAGAGACGATCAATAAAGCAATAGATCTTTTTAGTAATTTAGTATTCGTGTGCTACTTCCTGTACGACATTTCAAAGTTTGTTTGAAAACGAATGATGGGTAGTGGTTTTGTAAACTGGAAAAAAGAAACGGAAAACTACACACAAGTGATACAAAAAATTTAAGTTTTAGAGGCTATGATATGTGGAAAAATAATCTTGGTTAGTGTTTTCTTAGACGATTTTGCCAACAAGGAATAAATGAATTACTCGGGTAGCATTTCTGCGCCCTTCATCAGAACCATATTGATCCGAGTCGGTTGTTCGCATCCGTTCGTCCTCGCGAGGTGGATGTTCTTCGTTGTCACACCGGTTGCCAGTTTGTTTAGTGTTGTCGAGAAGAGATCCTGTACATAATTAAGCAGTGATGAGCTCTTCTGATCTGGATTCTATAGTTCCAGTTAAGCCTGGTAGTGACTTCTTAAAGTTTTTCGTAAACTATATGAGTACAAACGACTTTGCATACTTTCGAAGCATCCACTTGTTGAAAACGAAGGGAGAGCATGAAGGATAATGCTTCAGCCGTCGATCATTCCCTAAGAGATGTGCCATGCATTAGACTTCACCAAGCACCGTTAGAAGTGGTTTGATGCGCATCTGGCCTTCCCAATAGTTTGCAATGGCATACCGTAGTATCAAGTTGGCGTTGCTATCCTCGGAGACAAGTCTGATACCAATTTGCCGTACTGGGGTGGAAAGAACGCGTGGCGAGCTCGGGTGCGGGACTGAACCGACGACCACAGTGCGCTCCACGTGCCACCAGAAAATCAGTGATCACTTATATTCAACGCTGGAACTCATATTCAACTCAATGAACCGAATCGAGTTTAATGCGTGGCATATACCGAAAGGATTGATTGACACTAAACGTTCTAACGTCTACAGTTTTTATTATCTAACGATTGGTGGCACTTATATTTTAACTATTACTTGTCAGTCGGTCACTGCGCTATCGCAATATTAGAAAATTAAGTCCATGTTTAATTAATGTACTGTGTAAACGAAATTCATTAGAGTTTAGCGACCTTCTTAGATGGAGGTGAAAATTGGGTTTGGTGGGCTCTTTAGTAATCCGAACGCTGAACAATCGAAGGCCACACCTCCAGGTTGTGGATAGATCGATTCTTTCACCTTTGCTAAACCCAAATGCACTACACAGTCGTTTATTTCCTAACGCTTCATTTTGTATACGGTAAGTGATAAACGGATATATATATATATATGTAGGTGTGCAGACATATACATATAATATTTATCTAAATGCTTTTACACGTTTCGTATAGCATTGTAAGAATTGCGACTACTTCAATTAGATTATCCTACCACGCTAATTTTAAACGTCTCTTGACAAAGCGCGCGGCGCTGTGGTCGCGGGCGCCCTGCAATACATGAGAAATCGACTCCCTCGCCCTAGGGCCAACAAGCCTTCCAGCCTCCAGGGTCTGTAAATTGGTAACAGACTTGTTAGGTAGACAGCAGCAGTGGTTCGATACAACGGTAAGCCACCGTGAGTCATTGTAAAGGCCATATATGCATTCAGTCA